CTTTTACTGAAATAATATAATAATAAATTTTCCCCCATCTCTCGCTTTTATTTATACCAAGTTAGCTTATGCCACGTGACTGGTCTTTATTCACTCCTAGTTAATTCATTCGCGTGTCCAGCCTTTGACGTCTTTATGGAGTCTCAATGTGCCATATGAGGCCACGATCGGTAGAATGCAAAATATGAGGCATTTACCAATGGCTCGTAAATATGCGCTTTAGGAGTATTTCCGAATGCCAAGGTTCAACATGATTGATAATAGGAGGGAGTTTGTACATTTGTCACAGCAGTTACGGGGTGGGTCACCTTGACACATCACTCCTACCAATCACAGGCGCTTGACGCGAACGAGTGTCAACTGTGGACATCGTCCTTATCGTCCTTATCTTGTCTCTGTAGGTCCTATTGCTACCGAACGAATTATAGTAAGTCCTTTGAGACTTTAATTAATTAAGTTGAAATACTCGTTCTTCTCGTCGATTTTTTATTTTTTATAATATTTATCATTTACTATTTCGCTTATTCATTATCGTCAGGGAACTGTTAGATCTATCCCAACCTCGCCGTCAAATTAATATAGTATAATCAACAAATCTTTAAAGAATAACTGGTATATTTGTGGGTGTATTCGAGATTGTCTTGAGCAGGAGAGTCTTAAATCGAGCCGGATAACTTCATAAATTTGTTTTGAAGGAGAGTACGTTGTCCTTTAAAGATTACACAAAACAAACTGGTACCTTTTCTGTTTGTTGGTTTTCACCATTTATTAACCTGGACAGAAATTAATGACCACTTGAATATCTACCCTACAGCATACCTATGCACCTATCTATTAAGACTAAAAAATGCCCCGGGATTAAAAACAATGCCAAGTCTTGGACCACACTCGGGGATTTTCTTCTCATTCCTATTCAAAGGAAGATAAATCCTTTAAAGTCTTTCCTAAATATGAAGAATCGCGCTCAAATGATAATTTCCCCTCTCCTTATTGAACATTCCTTTAGATCTTATCCTATTGAAAAGGATAAGAAAAGATCTAGTGAAAGATCTGTATCCCATAATCATATGATCTGTTAATGTCTTCAAATGTTAGTGAATGAATTAAATCCGCTTTAACGAACCATACCTTCAAAGTTTTTTAAAAACGAAATGGCATTCGTACTGACGACTTCTTTAAAAAATTGAAGGCAAAATATTCCTTTGCATAATGTTCACAATTAAATTGAAATAAAATAATCATAATCTTCTTATTAGAACGACTTCTCCACAAGAAAATTTTGTTAGATTTATAAGCATTTTCGGTACTGAAAAATATAATATAGGCCAGATTGCGGAGATCCCCATCCGAACCCCTTTACTGGAAACCGGCCTCGCCTATAGGCGTGTATTATCATGTTAATAGGCATTAGAAATGTTGAATTAATATAAATAGTTTTGTGAATAGCATTAAAATTTTAATGGCAAAAGGCTACGCGGATGGACCCTTGAGTACTCTTCTGTTGCACTTCCTGTAAAATGAGAAGCTGGAGCCGTAGCATCTTAACGTCATACCTGTTACTCTAGCCAGGCACCTTGTGTTAGAATAACACGTCATTACCCATCTGGCTTTGCGTTTCCGGGGCCAATGCCTCCTCTTTCGTGTCTTAAGGGAACTCAAAGCGTGCAGTTAAGAGGAAATTAGCTTTGGTAATTTTACGCTTTTATTAATTTGTGTTTAACTTTTATAACTACATCCTATTAATACAAATTGGTGGTGAAAAAATTGGGGTTACACAGGAAAAGAAAGTAGAATCTTTCTAAAAACCTTACCAAAGACAAGCCACGATAAAATACTTAACCACGAAATTTTTTAGAATATTAAGAGGGCTTTTACCCATCTTTTTACACGAAAGAGAAAAACATCTCCAAGCTATATTTTGAGAGAATTTATGAAAGGAAAGAATATCTTCAGGCCATAAATATATAATAATTAAAAACAAGAGATAAATCACTAAAGTGGAAAACGTAAATGAATTGCACGAACAGTAAAAGAATAAATAATTTATTTACAGTCCAAGCTGGCATCTTAACTCAGAGCTTTAAAAAAATAAAAAAATAATGTCTTTAACATGATTATTCGTTTCTAATTTATTTCGCTAATAAAAATATACACTGAGAAGCATGAAATAAAGCAATCAGAGTGAATAAAAATGTAAATGAAAAGCGCAGTATTAAATTTTAAATTAACATAATTAATTTTACCGACGAGAAAAACAATATCATAATTTACAATAACATAATTAATTTTTCATCACTGTAGTGATGAAATATTAATTATGTTATTATGACGTGATTTTTTTATCACTTTACCGATGAAAAATCACTCTTAATAACCTTAAAGCAGCTAAAATTAGCAAGGGAATAGCAAACGATAATCTCGATAATTGAGTAAATTTCGCTAATTTGTGAACACGATTAGTTACAATTTAAAAAAGAAAAAAAAAGAAAATTCATTCTGGGTGGTCCGTTTTATGACGTCATCCGGACGAAGATTTGCTGCAAATCCGTACAAATCGTTTAACCTTGAAACATTACATTTACGAACGAAGATTATAAACAGTAAGCGGCGAAGAAAGTTGGACACGCATTGTTTTTGTCTTTTGGTGGGATTTTATTCGGAATGTGAGTACTGACGTCTGATAGAACAAGTCGGACCGTACACCCCACTGTGAAACAAACTCTACCAAGATCAACTGTCGCGAATGGAAGATGGATGGGAGTGCTTTGCTAATTCCCCACGCCGGGAAAACACTGGGGTGGTATTGTTATCTCGTCCATGTCTATTGCCACAGAGATCTACTGTGACGTGACATTGTTGAGCATCTATTATAGGATACAATCTATTCCAGTGTGGGAGAGTTAAGAGGAACTTTGGTCAGTGCCAGCTCTAAAACGTATAACCCAAACGAAAATAAAAGACTACAAATCTAATCTGGAATGCTTGGCAGTGCTGACGACCCTTACTTTAAACAAATCTTTATTCTAAATGAAGTAACACCTATCAACGGAGTGCACGCTAATAAATTTGACATTAAATGCGCTAACAATCTCATTTTAACCCTTTAAAGCAGGGTGATACAATGTGGAACCACCTTTCACCTTATGATGGGGTGATACAATGTTTCACCCAGAATGAGAATAAACCAGTCTGCCGGACTATGAGCATGCACATGATTTTTTTTTTAGCTTTCAGTACTAATGCACGTTCGTGGTTATAAATTTAGCACAAAATAATAAGTTCAATCGACTTTAGAGGAAAATATGCAAATAAAACAATCAAAAATTAATCGGTTTTTTTGTTCTAAAGTGTTAGCAAATCTTAGTTCTGTTGCCAAAATTTCAAACATTTATGGATTAATTAATTTACAAAGCATTAATTGGATTTTATACGTAATTTTCTGAAGGGTATGTACGAGTTTGCATCGATTTTTTCGCCATCTTAACAAGTAAAGCCCACATTTAGCCGGAACCCGGTAACCTCTTAGGCCCCTAATGAATTTTAAAGCTAAGTAGCGGAGTTAAACAAGAGTATCAAAAGAAGAAAAGAAAAAACATCGATATTTAAACCCGGGGACATTATTTTTGTATTTGCAGACGTAGGATCGTTAACAGCCTGTAATAACAACCTCCTAATCACTAGCTATTACAAGTCGAGTAATCATAGAGTAAGTTAAGTGGATGCATTCGTCCAGCCAAAATCTGTCCCCGGATTCAATTACTGACGATTGCTTTATTTTGCGACTACTCACAGCAACAATAAAGGTCTCGAGGGTCGTGCGTGATCTGAATGGGATTTTATTTCTTAAGAGAAAAATCTCACTGGGTTTATTATACGAATGACTATTTTTCAACCGCCAATCCCGAGTCTAGACGATTGTGACAAAGTCTACAGTGCAAACGCTACGGCTAACATCTTTATGAACACAATAACTTTCATAATGTTAACAGGACGGTTCGGAGGGTTGTTAGATTGGACATGGAACAGTTACCTTTGTACCCGCCCAAAGTTTTATGACCTAGGTGGCGAATGGCCGAAAGCTAAACTCGAGTTGTGAACTCGGCCCGTGTGGGAACATCCTTAGCCCCTCGCACCGAAAACATCATTCCGTTTAGATCGGTTTTAAAACCTAAAACTTGACGTCACGCTGATCTTTTGTTACGAAATAGTAGCATGGTCAATAGATATTTTGTCGTATGCACTCGACAGAAAGATAGGTTATTCGAGTAATTTTACGAATTCCTCTTTTTTTTTTTAACATGCGCGTGTTGCAGATAAAACTTCCGAGACAAGGTGAGGGTGACTTTAATCGACTAGACGAACACTGGAATAAACTGTTGACAAAAATACGACAAAAATTATACCGATCTTTGTGAAAACTGTGGATTGAGGTCACAGGTCAAAATGGGGTGTGTCATACAGAAAACGGATATGACCATATAATGGTTGGGAGGGGTCGAACAAAGCAACTCAAGTCTGAGAGAGCAGAATCTTCCCCAGCGACTTTCAGTTATACTGACAGATTTAATGGTGTATCAAAAACGTTTTTTTGGGGTTCTTAACAAGTAAAAATGTTTATTTTTCGAGCAACTTTTAACAACAATATAATAAACCCTTTAGTAATTTAATATTAAACTTAAGGGAGAATAAGGAGAGAGTAAAATGTAGCTTAATCGCAGCGCATAAAAGCAGGTGTTAAATTCTTTAAACAAATTTAATACAGAGAAAAAATTCTAGAACTTTACAATTGAAAATTCTGATTTCAATTGAATTAGAATTTTCAATTGTAATGTTCTAGAATTTTTTAGAAATTTTTTAGAATTTTTTAGAATTGAATAGATTAAATACCTAATGAGAGAAAAGAAGGATTTACTGGAAGTGATTCTGGGTGAAAGAATGTTTTAAGTTTAATGATCAAACGGAGTAGCAATTAATAATGAAATGTTAAAATTCTTTATTCTGAAAATGAATAGAAGGAATGCATATGCCGGAATGCCTGGAAGAAGAATCTTTCAAGCGAAGTAAATAGTCAATGAGTGAAAATTGAATGAGGCAAAGCAGAAAAGGATGCGGAGTTCTTAAGTGATAAAATGTGTTAATGGCATTAGCTGTCATCTATTAGATTAATAATAAAGGGATATTTGCTTTAAAAATGAACGATTAGATTAGGTGGTTAGAGGATGCACGTGGTGTTCCGTCGTATAGGCAAACTGGTGACGTCATCAGACAAGGTATCTGGTTCGGCCAACCAGACGAGGCGAGTCTGCTGAGACGGGGGAGGAACGAACGGACGTACAAACAACGAGCGATGAGAGAGAGGAGAAGACTGAGAATGAAGCGCTGACGATATTAGAAATGAGTCTTTTAAAGTTGTTATCATCATGATAAATGTGTTAACGTTGCTGATATTGGGATGTGTGGTCTGTTTACCCGTGACTACAGCCAACACGACTTTGGTTGACGGGATATATTGGTCGGAACAAGTAGAAAGATGGATGCCTCGTGGATATCCTGACTCCTACATCGACAAATGGAGGAAATTTGTGAACGAATCGCGTGTTGTCAAAGTAGAAGAGGGTTGCGGTCGCATGCAGAATCGCTACGTCATCCTAGAAGGTGGTGTAAGTGCTTGTTGTCGTTACCGCCAGAACAACGATCAGATTCAAGGTGAAATCTTTTCCTATTATTTGAGCCAACTGCTGAGATTAGAGAATTTACCCCCAACAGTACTTTCCATGGTGAATGGACACAGCCATCGTTGGAACGGAGTCTCTAATCAGCTCAGTTTGGCGCAATGGACTAACGACAGGCCTGTCGTTTTAACTAAGTTTGTAGATGGTCTCGTTCCAGCTTACATTCCGACTCAATTTCGCACCAAAAATCGTCGCCTCCATCCCATAGACGACGATCTGAAAGGAAGAAGTCGGCAAGACGTCATAGAGTTGGTCCAGTGGTCCGATTTGATTCTGTTTGATTATTTAACCGCAAACTTGGATCGGGTTGTCAACAACATGTATAACGAGCAATGGAACTCCGAGATGATGAGATCTCCGGCTCACAATCTTGCCAAGTGTCGCCGTTCGGGCCTATTGATCTTTCTCGATAACGAATCGGGTCTGGTGCATGGTTACCGTCTCCTGGACAAGTACGAACAATTTCATCGCTCCTTACTCGATTCTCTATGCGTCTTCCGTAGGAGGACAGCTGAATCTATCAAGAAATTGCGCCACAGAAGTACTTTGGACGCATTGTTAAAGCGCAGTTTTCAAAACGAAGGTTCGTCCGTGACCGAATGGTTACCTTATCTTCCAGAAAAGACTTTAAGGACTCTTCAGCAGAGGATGGATACCGTCTACAAACACATCAGAAAGTGCGACAAGAGGTACCGCCTGGTCTAGTCTCTCCGATGTAAGTATTGTTCATAACGAGCTTAAATCGAGTCAAGTAGGAATAATTTTGTATATGAGGAGAGATAATTCCACTTATTTTATTAAAAAATTTCTTTCTCTATAATCGAGTTTAAATTTAATTATATTTTATACGATTAAAGTTGTAAATTTTTCAAGGGAATGACTCTTTTTTGATTTTAAACTTCGGTTTGAGAAGTTTTACAACCTCAACTCAAAATATATCAACGTAAATGCTCATCATTACAATTTAAACACGTTTTCTGCAATTTTCTCGCTATTTTCATTCGTAATTTATACCTTATAATTAAAATTTCTCTTTATATTTGTCCTTTCTCTCCAAATTCCCGAATTTCTTGAGCATTTCTGTATAAGTTCTTATACTTTATAATTAATTCTATAATTTTATTACGTTGCTTTCTACTAAGTATCTTAATCTAAATGTTTATTTCATTCAATACTTTCGATTAAGATTGCGATATTTCATAATCAATATCTTTCTCCAAATTTCAATTTTTCATTCTTACCATTCGACTGACGATGAATCGAATGGTACTTTTCATGGTACATTTACACAACTAGTTGCTGAATTCCATACAAAATGAAGAAAATGCAGTTCCGAGATAAAAATCCCGAGGCTTTCTTCTATAATTATTATTAGGCTATTTTTATACTCCAAATCAATGCTGTATAGGCCTGAATGCGTTCGCTTAAATTGCTATCTGTACAGGTATGTACAGATAGCAATGTATGAAAGGCTGTTTCATACATTGTAACAGCGGAAAGGCTGTTACAATGTATGAAACAGCCTTTCCGCTAGAATAACCTTTGCGATTGTTTTCAAATTAGCAAAATAGAAATCTAATGATACGCTTTGAAACAGAAACTTACAAATGATCTGAATTGAAAGACACGAATTAAACATTCTAAATCGGTAGAGAGCATTAATAATTATAAAGATCGCTGGTGTAAGAAAAGCAAATAATTTGAATGTAAAAAGCTTCCGCTAATTAAAAATGCCTTTCTAAACAAGAAAGATAAAAGGGTTTTATGTAGGCTTCTGTGCAGCCATAGAACTGAAGGGCGAACTGCGGTAATTTTAGGAAGAAAAGAGTTACGCCATTGGTCGCGCGGCCGTAGGAAGTAATGCGTAATCCCATTGTTAAATATAAGAGATACCCATTAAGAAATTTGGTATTTTAAGAGTAAAAACGAAAATGAAAAGAGATTGCTCCGGGGAGGAATTCTTTGCAAGCGATACTCCAGGAACACAATGCCTTTCGAACCAGATGGTCAGATAAGGGCAGTGACGTTGTTCAATGCTTGCGATTGACTTTTAAAGTGATTAGAACGATGTACAGAGGATCCTATCACGTTGCGACAGCAGATGACATGTCACACTATCTCGACATGCCTTTCTTACTCGGGTCACTTTGTTACGCTATGGCCTCGGGCGTAACCAGCTCCTTAACAGCAGACATTGTTAGAATAACGATAACAAACAGAAGGGAATATCTTTTTACTGCGGGAAAGATTATTAAAGTCTGATGTCCTCACTTAATCACCGATTTCTCTCTCACGATTCGATGCTCTTCAAAAATTTCTCTTATGTTCGATAATTAGCCGACTTCGCTGAGGTTTTAACGTGGCCATTCAATCATTTTCCTTAATATTTTCCAAGTATTCGATGAAATTATTTATCGCATATGCCTAACATTCTCGCTTAAAAGTCGAGACGATCCTTTCCAAATTCATTTTCGATGAAAAATTTAATAAAATTTGATTATAAAATTGTAAAATACGATCATTTTCAAAGTCAGAAACACCTTAAATAGTAGAGAAACAAACTCTTGATTGGTATATAAATTTCTAAGAAGCGAAGCGAATATTTGAATTTTAAAGATACAGAATTATCATTCCTTACTGTAGAAAATTTAGATAATAAATCTATTAGTTTAATTTTGATTAGGCCTACAGGTAGTGCCATAAATCAGAGGCTACAAGCCCTACCCCAGTAACAAATCTTAGAAACCGTTAAACTTAGTTTTTTTCAGAATCCACTTGTTCAAAAAAATAATTTTTATTTGTTACCAGTTCTCGAACTTCATTGCCAATTTGACTAACATAAAATTTTAAGGCGAAGAGGAATTTTAAAGAGACTCTTTAACATTTTTCTATGGCAAACCATGTTGTAAAGGGCGAAACGTCTCTAATTACTCGTTAATGAAAATAAAAGCAACCCATTGCGGGATAAAATGCGATAGCGAACCTTTTCTGCTAGCCAAAACAAGGTTAACTCTGCGGGGCCCCTCTTTTGTGTGACACCCGGAAAAATTGCCCCTTTGGCCTTATGGGCGTCCTGAATATTTACTAAGGCCTTTAATATTCTCCACCTGTAACAAAAGTAGCATTCTCGTAAACTTTCAAAAAATTTTTTCGTGAATTTAATTTCTTCCTATTTAAATTTAAGCCACGACAAGAAAAAATAATTCACGGTACGCAAAATTATCGGCAGAATTCTTCAAATTTCTCTGGTGCTCCTTCGTCAATGAGAGCCATCTCCGAAGATCGTGGACGAGGCTCCCGAAGAATCTTCGGAGCACCTGGACTTTCAGAAAAATCAGATTGCAAAGTGGTATTTACCCACACCAGTCACATTTTTCAAGAGTTTAATAGGGAATCGCCATGCCAAGTCCAACTCGTTGCTACACAGTGACAAATAGCGTCAATAGCGATTGCTCGACCCCTACCGCACTCAGGGTGTGGACTGTCAGGCAGTTCAGAATATCCCACCCGTCGAAATAAGGGGGAAACACCCTGACGCCTTAACTGTCGCACACGTCCGACGCAAAATACCAGACATTACGCAATCAGTTTGCGTCAGAAGTTTGCATTCTGTACTTCCCACGCCGTTCGTATCCGATGTCTTTACTCGAACGCTCTCGAATTGGTAGCTAAAGAATGGAGTCGGAGTCGAAGAAAGCATCCGAAGAGCAACAGATATGTAGAAATTACAGATATGAAGCGAAGCAGTAGACGAGGCTGATATGGCTGGAAGGGAAACGGCACAAAACAGGTCTGTGTTGTGATTAAATGGCCAGTAACTTTTATTGCATGTAAGCACGCAAAAGTTGCCAGAATGCAGTGCTGCTGATGGAAAGAGGCCCTTGCTATTGTAATGACGTCGAAACGCTATTATAGTGGAAACGCTTGTCTAGTTTTTACTTGTCGGTAATTATAAAAAATTGAATCATTGACAAGCAAACTTTACTTTATCGATAAACAAGCTCGGCTGCACCTAATTATTACATCAAAAGAGAAGGGAAAGATCTCAATAACTACAGACCTTATCTAATTTCTTTCTAAAGTAGTAAAATCCAACATCTATTAAATTTCTTTCTAAGAACATTATACACCCCAACGACTTTCAATCGGTCGGGTAAAACTGGATAGAAGGTCAAGCTGTGGGAAACTAGCGGTCTGTAGCACCTTTTTTTTCATAAACTACTCATCTTCTGCTTGTGATGAAGCCATCAGGTTATTTGCGACCTTCTCAATTCAGACAAAGACTTCTCCTTCTGGGGAGCTAAGTCAGTCGGGGTTAAGGATAATAAATCGCAACACGTTCCTGAAGGAGATGGAGTTGCACTCGTTAACACTCCTCACCTGATAAGTCAGAAGGGATGGTTGTTCTACTTGTCCGGATAGTTGTGGTCAATGCTAATAATCTTATTTATGGCTTTTATAACACTTAATTGAATGGGACGCTAACAAATTATTTATCTTACTTCATTAAAATGATTTAGACACGTCTGTTCTACTTTATAAAATTAATGACCCTCGAAACTGCACAGGAGACAAAATCGAGTCGGGTCGCTTCTCGACTTTTAACTCTTCTTTTTTTTCTTTTTTCCTTTATTTTTTCTTTCGATTGCTCAAGCTCTAACTGTGCTGACTAAAGTGGAAGCTATTTTTTATGCCCAATTTAAATTGGAATAGTTGAACTCCCGGTCGAGGTGAAAGGCGGTACTTTACTGGGAGAAGCTGGATTCTGACTTCAGCTCGCTCGATATTGACCACGTGTGAGATTTAGGAGTGCAGAGTGACAAATATATGGTCTTTTGAGACCGGTCACTTCACAAACCGCAATTAGTCTAAGAGTACAGATGTTGATGATGAATGAGTCGCCAGGGGGGACAACTAACATCACACCTATAAATTAGCTGTTCTATATAAACACAAGTAACGAAGAACAACACTGAAAAAAATACGATCACTTTTAATCAACTAATCATGAATTTCGACCCCCTCCGAAAGCCTAGGAAGAGCATTGGTTACATTATCGTTCTTACTCTGCTTAGGTAAGCAGGATTAAATGTCAATTAGCATCGTCTCATACATGAAAGACTAAGTAATTTCGGGGCCTGTAACAAATTCGGAGTCTAATCACAGTAAAAAAGAAGAAGAAGAAGAGGAAAAAAACTTTATGCAAATAATTACATCGAAAATCTAACCTCGGAGATGCTCTCCCGATAAAGATTTAAGTTGTAAAATAACTTAAATTTACCTTCGAATATAGAAGAAAACAGTAAAAATAAATATAGAAACATAACCCAATCCTCGCACACTACTATAAATTTAGTAATTTGTAAAGAAAGGAGAAATATATCAATCGCATGGTTGCATTATTTCCATAAATAAGCTGCTTGTTTTTGGCTTTATTAGAAAACTAATTAATTTTGATTTTACGAGTCATCGAAGATTCCTGACAAGTCTATAAATAATTAATATCATAAATAATGGATATATATTTACCAACTTTGCTTCTGTTTGCCTCAAGTTACAAAGTTTAAAGATCAGAAAAAAATTAATTAAGCTTAAAATAATCATAGCGATTCAAATTGTCTTCAGACCTGATGAAACGAAATATTTTCTATAAAAAGTAGCATATTATTTAATTTATTATAAAGTAAAATATGCAAATTTTCAAGAAAATTATTTCAAAATTCATTTTTTATAGCTTTAATAAGTCAATTTTTACTGNTATTTTTATATAAATTAATACATAAATTACAAATTTTTAATTTAATTTTCTAAAAAAAAATTGTAATAATTAAATAAAAACAGAATTATCTTCATAACTTTTACAGTATATTTAGATTAAAACGTATGACTTTTTACAGTTAACATAAAAATTAATTTATTTAATTAAAGTTCTATATATGGACCTGAAACGACTGTAATAAAATAATTTTAATTTAAAATTTCTAAAGAAAATTCGATTAAAGGCCTATAAAAATTATAATCATAAAACCTTACAGAAATAAAGTTTAATGGAAACTACGTGACATTTTAATTAAAAATACGTAAATTTAAATAAATTATATATTTAATGACTTGATAAATAAGTTATATTAGAAGGCTTTTAATTAGTAATTTAAATAATCTATAAATATTTGATACATTTATGTAACGTGTATAGAAGGAATGGATAGAAACAATTCAAAAATATCAGAAAAATTGAAAGAATTGAACTAAAAGGAAGTTTATAATGTTGTAGCACAAAGAATTTCTCCCTTTATCCGAGTTAATTTTATAATTATATTAATAACTTCAAAGGTTCAGCAGCAAGAAGTGGAAAATTTCAGCTGTTGAATACTGCATTTAATGTTTATAAAATAATTTAATTTATAATTATTTCTATTTAGAATTCCACGAGTTTAAAAGAAAAACGCAAGCCTTCATGTTCTCAATGAATTAGTAATGAATCTTTATTTAAAAAAATGTACATTTTAGAATCAGTGTCTTCTTGAAAGCAGATTTTATTGATGTAATATTAATATATCTTACATAAATTACTTTATTTCGCTTTAAATTTGTGTTTTAAATTAAATAAAATCTAAATTTTATGGCTCGCATTATAAAAACTTTGGACGGGAGGGAGTTTTCATTCAGCCATTTTGCTAAAATTTATGAGCTAGGACTAAACTCTACACATGTTATATACACTAAGATCGTGTTATCAATCGATAAGTTCTATAGAAATAAACATTTAAAGTATTTCTTTCTAGGTTTAGAGGACGGACTGCATCTTTATTTCATAATAACTTGAAAAATAAATATATAGAAAGGATAAAATTTGATGTAATTTGCAGAATTCTCTCATTGAATTAGGTTTTTGAAATCAAAATGAATATTTAATCGCTTTATTCTAAGAAGGAAACGTCCTCATTTTAATGCCAGATGTTCCAACTAAGCTATAATTTTAAGACTCAGACTGAGTCGAACACGCAGGTTTTATCACATGTTAAATTCAAAATGATGGTTTAGAAATTTTAATTCTGTAACTTCTGGATTAAATAAATTCGATTTACAGTTTTATTATGCAACAGATAAGAAGTAACTTAAGTCGAGGAAGCATCTAATTCACTAGTGTAACTAAATAAATAAGTTATCTTTATAAGATTGATGGCTGAATAAAAGATTCAGCACTCTCTTAGATATATCATCATTGACTGATACAAATACATTGATTATATTTATATGTGACTCGAAGGCGTTGAGAATTTCATTAATCGGAAGGATTATAAATTAAAATTATAGGTTAATTGTTATCATTTTTCATTCTTCACATCACGAGAAGGAACGAAATGTTGTAATTTTAATGATTCGCATGACAGAAACGGAAAATTATAGAAATTTTCAACAGCGTATTCTTACGTTTATCAATATTTTTTTTAAATTTAGACATCTAGTTTTATTACAGATAATTAATTATCTTGAACTTCTAGATCTTTCTTTATACAATTGTTAACAGTTCCTTTATACTTTCTATTGTTGAGATTTTCCTCCTGTCGAGCCCACTTCTTAAAAGGGCAAAGCGTAGAGTTTTGCCCCTTTTAAGCCCATCAATTCTTATCCTTTATGCCACTTTAAAGCCGAGTTTGTAAAGAAATTCTTGTTCCAATTTTCTAGATCGCTTCCTTCGCAATTCTTTAAGTTTTATTATTAAATTTTACAGTAATATCAATATATTAAATACGTTTATACGGCAATAAACGAACCGTTCGAGTCTAAAATTTTTACTATAAAAATTCAAATCGTGGCGGTGTTAACGGAATAGGAAGAGCAAACAAAACATGTATTTTTCAAACACGGATTGCTTACCATTCGCCCACTTGAAAACTTCTTTAATTGTTTGCTTCCAAAGAAGGACAAGCGACTTCCTAACAGTTCTCTCGTCTCCTTCTACAGTTACCGACATTTTTCATCTGTTTCATTTGTTTTTGGCAGCTAAGAATTCTATCAGAATTCGATTTAAAAAAGAAAAAAAAGAAGGCCAAACTCGAGCAGCCTCGCATGTTTTGTTGATGTAATTAATAATCGTTTGTTGCCCCCCAGAAAAAGCGTCTCAAATTTACGTTATGATCGATGATTTTCAGTGTTGGCAGAAAGATAAATCGTGACGAACCATTGTGTCGACCCCATCATCACTTCGACGACTCCTCGCCTAAGCAATCAACAGAACCATCACTTAAATAAATACACACGAATCTTTATAGATGATTTTCAATTATTTCTTAACCTCGCACTTAGTCCTGATGATAAAACATGATAAAAACCTGGCACTGTTTATCACCTTTCGCGATTGTTTCTCTTTGCAATTTTTTTTTACTCTTATCTTTCTCACTTAGCTGCAGTTATTTTCTTAATAAAATGAATAATTTTTGTTCCTAAACAATTAGTAAACGTTCAAACCGTTTATACAAATATTAATTCTTTATAATTTTATTAACTAATAAGCCGAATTTTCTATTTTTTCTTCGAATTAATTTAAAGAATATCGCATGGCACGAATGGCTAAATGAGTACATAAAACATATAAAATGCTTAATAATAGCTTTATAATTAAAATGAAAAATAAAATATCGAGTTATTTAATACAAATATTAGCAAATGTATCATGTAATATACTTAAAATTACAAAGAAAAAGCTATTTAAAAGCGTTATTTAAGTAAATTGATTTTTAAAGATGTAAATGTTTACTATCCTACAAAACCGTTCGAGTTTAAGCAGATATTTCCTGCGAGAGCCTACAAATTGTGCAATATCACCAGAATCAGTAGCGTAACCGGGGAGGACCCCTTATCTTTATAAATAAAGTAGGGAAAAAAAGATACAGGGAAAAGATTTAAATGCGACAAACGCACTTATATTTCTGTATATAGCTGTATGCAACATTAAAGAGTACTCTATCCACACACTAGTAGATAATTATTTCCACAATGATATAGGGGCGAATGTACTGTAAGCTTGCACGTTCTAATTCGGTTCTAGTTACGCTACTGATCAGAATTAATCACTGTTAGAACTATTGTTAGAATCGCTACAAATTAAAGCAAAAAGAATTTAAAACTCTAAATCTATTTCAGCCTAAATTGCAAACTTTGCATACAGTTGGCATTTTTCTAAAAGATATAATAAATTTATAAGGAAAAAGAAATCGTAACTATATATATATATTATACGTGTGTACAATGCATAAGTTATGTATGAGCGTATATAGATAGATCTAGTAAGTAGTGTGATATAATAGTTTTATACAGATCACGATGTAACTAATGTTTGCGTTACGGTAAAGATCGGTGCTTAAAGACGTTAAAATTGTTATATTTTACTCGAATATTTGAATTTTTAAAAGGTCATTTAAGAAAGATAATTATGTTTTATCACTGAGTTAACGGAACTTAATTAGTGGGCCTTCTTTAAACTTTAACAAGTTTTAAGACGTTATAAGAGTTAAAAACGTTACCTATAAAACACTAATAATATAAAATGAATCAGTTGTACTTAGCCTATATAATTATATTTAAATCAGCTTTATTTAAAACTTTTTTTGTTAAAAATAATTTACAGAAAATGAAAACTGTTGATTTAGTTCAATGTTCATGGCAATTCTTAAATTCTCTAGACTTAGATTTAAACTTAATATAGGCGTATCTATGAACAGATTTGTTAAAAATCTATTTAATATGTTATATATTTAGTAATTATTTATGCTATGAAAATTTAATGCTATGATTTTAACATTGATAAAATCGCTCATTTTATCAATGTTAAAATCCATTATAAGGTTTTTTCGCGTAATTATCAGTGCAGATAACTTATACTAAATCATTTTAATTTCATATAGCCTATCAATTTAAAAGAACATAATTATAATTGAAAATCAATAGATTTTATAAGACTGACAATAAGAGCGAATCTATTTTGTACCAGAATACAGAAATCTTCCGCTATCAAAAAGTTTACCTCAAATTTCGGGGTTTCTATTTGCCAGTTCTCATTAATAACCATTTAATAGCACAGTTTAAGACCCTTTATCACAAAATTTAATAATTTTTTGTATCTTGAGTCGAAAATTTTATCCATTTTTTTGTCATAAATTTTGCCATTTGATAAGTTACAAAACTAGAATCTTCGTATTGTAGGAAAAGTAATGCATGTATAACATGTAGTATTAAATGTGTTTTTCTCTATCTTAATGATAAATATGGCTATTTATGAAGAGACATGCTATAAATACAAAGAATGTAATCAACAGTAAATCTTGTTGATGTAACTGAAATTCTCAGAAAATGACACGCTGCACTCACCGCTATTACTGTTTATTTTAATGTAAACATGGATACGTTTTATTACTATTTACTATTTATATAATTTTACTTCTTTATTTCTATTAATTTTGTTAATATTTATTCGTTGGTATGAAGTTTTACAGCATAAAAGCAGAATGTATTTCTGTATGAAATGCTTTTCACTAATGTAGCCATGTTTATAACTTATTATACATTAGTGAAAATCATTTCATACAGGAAAAAAAGAATGTTTCACGTAACAATTAGCCTTTTATATCGGAGTTTATCCATTTCTAAAACAAACTAAAATCTCTGAAAGCTTACTCTTTTACAATTCAAATATTAAATTTCTCATATAAACAAGTGTTTCCCTATACAGAGCGCCACAATATCTAGAAATCCCAATAAGAAGCCGAAAAAACTCTACTCAGACAAATAAAAGCGCTTGATTTGAAAAAAAAATCGACCTTTTTATTAAAAAAAAAACATTATTCTGTAAATAAACTTTAATTTAAACTATTATAAATAGGTAAAGTCACGTTGTATTTAATATTTAAACTTATTTTAAACTAATCGACCGTAAAATTAGAAAATCTTGACATTGTAGTGGCCTTTCTAGTTTTACAGGTGGAAGTTTAAAAAAGGTTAATTCAAAAACGTTTCTTTCTTCTAAATTCAAACTAACCATCAGAATTTTTCGCTAATCCGAATACCTTCAGAATTCATCCGTTCGGATCATCGAGAATTTGTCGAATTTATTAACAGAGTTATTTCTATACTTATTCGATCAAAGTTACTATATTTATGTCTATGATTCAAACTCATTTACATATTTATATATAAATATTGTGTGCGTGTCTTTTGTGTGTGATAAATGCCGAAAACCGAGAGAAATCTTGCATTTTCTAACAGAAATCGAATGCTACTTACCAACTTATACTGCTTACCAAGTGTTTCGAGTGCGTAGGAACTTGAAAATCTTTTATATTTACCGATGACATTACTGTTTAAAATTCATTAGACTTAATTAACTTAATTAGCATCATATAATCCGTTGTAATTCTATAATAAAAAGGCAATAATTGAAATTTTTTTTCATCAAAGTTTAATGATTTTTATCACAAAAAGTTTTAATTTCAGTCAAGAATTTTAATTAAATTAAAATATAACTAATTAGAAGATAAATTGATTAATTAAAATTTATTATTTTAAATCTTAAATTCTCTAGACTTAGATTTAAACTTAATATAGACCTATCTATGAACAGATTTTTAAAAAATCTATTTAATATGTTATATATTTAGTAATTATTTATGCTATGAAAATTCATGCTATGCTTTAGATTTTTATAAATTAAATAAATCTCGAAATTTATGTAATTTAATTGATTTTTAGCACTCGTATTACAGTTTTAAACTTAATTTTTTAATGTTATAAAGCTAAAAAGAACTAAGCCTAGATTATTTATAGATTTATAATGCACTGACGTTAGTTTTATTTGTGTATATGGAATGTCACCAGTCAATGAAGTCTGCTCTGATTGACTTTATACAGATGCTAAATGTTTTCACAGATGACACAGGGAGTTCTAAATCATTTGGGGATTCTGGAGTGTTGTAAAAAGCATCTCACTTTATTACTTTTTATATCTTTGGAATTTAAAGTGTTTTATATTTCACTTATAATCATTTATACTTATTATTTTTGATTCTAAACTAATGTTAACACTGTAAAGTGTCATATATTTAGGCCTATATATGCTA